ATCCATGGTGGTTTCCCTTCTCTTTGCTGCTCTTGATTTTAAAGCTGTATCTGTTCACATGCTGGGCAGAACTTCTGTTTTGCAGCAGACTGCCTTGTCTCTGGAATGGATACATGGTGTCTCTGTGTAGGTTCACAACCTGAGCCAGCACTACAGGAAGAGGCACTCAGCTGCAAAGGGAAGTTCTCCCCCAGCATGAGAAGAGATACAGATTTAAAAGGAAGAGCAGCAAAGAGAAGGGAAACCACAATGGATTACAGTAAGGCGCACATTACACTATTGTTTTATGTTAAAAAATCTGAGGGTTTAATGTCACTTTAAGTCTCACTGCACTGGAATGCACGACATTGCGGTACCACGAACGGGACTGTGTGATTAACGCATTGTACTAGTGTGATTGGGCCCTCAAAAAGCACTAACAGACACACACAACCACAAGCTCACACACTCACAGACATTCTAACACACACATACACACTCCCAATTTCTTAATTTTTTTTTAAGATTCACCCATTGTCCCTGTCTTAGGAGAACTGGGAGAACTGGAGTGGATCCTCAGCCTGGGGTCCAGTGTGAGCAACTGTGCTTGACGGAGCTCCATCCATATATGCATTGCTGGTATAGCTCCCCTGGGCACCCTGTAGAGCCAACATGTGACATCACTCCAGTCCAGGCACCTCTACAGGACACATGAGGGAGCTATAAACAAAGCACGTATGAATGGAGCTCCCTCTCGGCCATAGCCCTAGCCCACCCACCTCACCTTAAGCTGACACTCGGCACCGGGCAGCATATTTATAATGGCTGCTTGGCAAGAGAACTGACATTTCTGCGCCAGGGGGAGGCTGCGGAGCTTCTCACCTAGAAAAGTGGAAGGCATGCAGTGACCCACTGAACATGGGGTCCCCGACCCACTTTTGGGTCATGACCCACCAGTTGAGAACCAAGGATCTAGGAGCACCAGTGCCATGTGAACAGCATCCGCCCAGCAACATGCTAGGTGCAACTTTTGTAAAATGAACCCCTTACTGTTCTAGGGTGACAATGCTCATGCACTGTACTAAATGTATGGACGTCAACCTAGGACTGGACTACAAATCAGTTCAGAAGGACTGAAGGTTCAGAACCAGAAGTGGAGAAAAATAAAATTCAGATTAAAAAAGTGTAAAGCTGCAAATTTTTGCGTTTAAAATAATGTAATTTTCTATCAGCTAAAAGACCATAGACCTTGACATTTTCTCCAAAGACCACCGATGGTCAGAAGACAGGTGGAGAACATGTAAGACTTTAGGGGACTAGTGGAGTGATGTAAAGCATGCATGATTCAAGCACGTCTGTGGCTCCAATACTCCCAGCAATGAGTCACAGAACAGTAAAAATTCTGTGTAACGAACGTAAGGGTTAAATTGTTTTGATCTGAGTGTTGGGTTTAATAACAAGTAAGACAAAGTATTAGTGTCAAAGCATCTGACTGTCACTTCACAAAGGAATAAGACATTCAACGGCTATATAAGAGAAGAAACTTGAGTACCATCTTCCGAAGCCATTTAATTTCCAGGATTTGCAGACCATACAGGACCAGAAATGAGGACGCTTGCTGTGCTGGTCATAATAACCACAGGTCAGTAGATTAGCCCATTTCTATAAATTATCTGTATTTTATTTTATTGTTCAGAATTACGTGAATTCAATTTTCCAGAAAACGACATTATGTTGTCTATGTTTATAAATGGTGGAGTCAAGGATTTTTATTTTTATTGGGCTCTCGAAATTCTGACCTGTGGGTAGATAACACCATCAAGCTAGCATAATTCTCAATTTTTTTTGGGGGGGCGGGGAAGAACATGAATTTGTACTACCACCATTTAAAGCAATGGCATATTCATCAATGTGGATTAAATTGCATAGATGTGAATGGGGCCCTCTACGGACTGATCCCTCCCGTAATGTTTGTACAACGTTTGTATAGTGTACACACTGGCAACATGTTGGTTTATATCGTTGTGTGCTTTGAGAGCTGATACTGTATATATTCTCAGCCCTTTTATGAAAGCCTTGTGAAGGGAACAAGGCCAGGCCTGTTTGGTTACTGAACAAATAGAACAAGTAATTTCACAAAAGGAGATACGAGCATGCAAAGTGATGCATTTAAAACAGGAAGAATTTTAGCAAACTCATTTAAAGGGAAGGAGGGTAGGGATTATCCAGGTTGTCATGTGTGTGTTTCAATGAACAATCCTTTACAAAATGCAGTTTTCTGTGTGGAATCTGGTATGAAAAGCTATGTATTCTGCTTTGTTTCCCTGGCCTCCTATAGGGTTGTCTGGTTTGGAGTTTGCAGCAGATAGTTTGGCATGTGGCTCCCCGGGGGTCTCCAGCAGAATTGTTGGTGGCACGGATGCTGTGAATGGCGAGTGGCCCTGGCAGGTCGGTCTGTACTATAAAGGTCAATACAGCTGTGGAGGTTCCCTGATCTCCTCCCAGTGGGTGATGAGTGCAACCCATTGCTTCTCTGAGTGAGTACACTTTCTTTCCTTTTTTTTTTATTACATTTGTACATTCAAGTTCACCTATAATTACTAATAAAAAAACAAACTATTTTCTTGATAAGGGTAAAAGATGTTCTGTTAGTTTCACCTCTGTTCTGCTCAACCGGTCTTTCCTTCATTGTGCCCATACCTCATTTCTCATCCTCTCTCTCCTTCTACTCCTTCACTCTCGGTTGGCGTCTTTTCACTACATTTTCCCTTCTCCTGTCCCTCTCTATCACCTCTGGTCTTTCCTTCTCTCACTTTTCATTGTCTCCTCTCTGTCTTCCTCACCTTTGGTCTTTCAATCTCTTCCCTTGTAGCATCGCCTGTCTTTTCTCGACTTTGTTTTTTTCATCTCTCCATGTAGTGCCTCTTCTCTTCTTCATTCACCTTTCTTCTGTCAATCTCTCCCCTTGAACTGTCTCTTCTCTCCCTCTCTCACCTTTAGTCATTCCATCTCTTCCCTTGTAGCGTCTCCTGTCTTCTCTCGACTTTGTTTTTTTTCATCTCCTGATATAGTGCCCCTTCTCTTCTTCATTCACCTTTGGTCTTTACATCTCTCCCCTTGTCTTGTCTCTACTTTCCTTCTCTCACCTTTGGTCTTTACATCTGTCACCTCGTCTCATTTCTTCTCTTCATCTCTCAGCTTTGGTCTTTCCATTATCCCCTTGTCTTGTCTCTACCTTCCTTCTTTCAGCTTTGGTCTTTCCATCTCTCCCCTTGTCTTGTCTCTACTTTCCTTCTCTCACCTTTGGTCTTTACATCTGTCACCTCGTCTCATTTCTTCTCTTCATCTCTCAGCTTTGGTCTTTCCATTATCCCCTTGTCTTGTCTCTACCTTCCTTCTCTCAGCTTTGGTCTTTCCATTTCTCCCTTTGTCTTGTCTCTTCTTTCCTTCTCTCACCTTTGGTCTTTCCATCTCTCCCCTTGTCTCATTTCTTCTCTTCATCTCTCACCTGGTCTTTCCATCTTTCCTCTTGTCTTGTCTCTACCTTCCTTTTCCCACATTTGGTCTTTCCATCTGTCCCCTTTGTAGAGTCCCTGCCATAATTCCCCTGTCTCTTCTCTTGGTTTTCTGTTGTCCCTTTTCAAATCTCTCTTCACTGCCTCTTTATTTTCTCTCTAACAAGACCAGCCCTCCAGAATGCATTGCAGTGTTTGGTGTATGTTGGAAATTAACCTTCACTGGTGAGCTCTATGAGCCTCCTGTGGCTATGATGAGGGATTCCTATTATGCATGTTGGATCTTAATTTATGGTCTTCTATGGAGAATGTAATAGGAACTCACAAAGGATGGCAGGGACACCTCATGGGAGCAGGGACACACAGAAATGGGTGGGAGAGATCGGCAGAAACTTCCAGATGAACAGGAAAAAAGCTGGAAATTATGTCAAGGAGATCTCCTGTTGAATTATCCAGGACCTATAAGAAACCATGGGCTGACTTCCACCTGACTCTGTTTTCAAAACGATACGATATATGACTTTTTGAAAGAATGACCCTTGAAAATGGTTTCTAGATTACCGCAATGCATTGCATTTTTCATTATTGTATTTAAAAGAAATATTTATAGCCTCTAGAGGAGGCATCTGGCCATATGTAAGACAGTGTATATGTAGGACAGTGTAACTGGCATCCTTACATCAATTGTAAGACTACCAATTACAGGATGTGCCTCCTGAAGAACATATGGCTTTGCAGACTGTATGAAACCTTAGGCAAGCAGAAGTGAAAATGTACAGGTGAAACTCGGATAATTAGAATATCGTGCAAAGTTCATTTATTTCACTAATGCAACTTATGCGGTGAAACTAATATATGAGAGAGACTCATTACATGCAAATCAAGATAGTTCAAGCCGTGATTTGTCATCATTGTGATGATTATGGCTTACAGCTCATGAAAACCCCAAGAACCCCAAATCCACAACCTCAAAAAAGTAGATTATTACATGCAATCAATAAAACACGGATTGTACATAGAACAATATCGGACCTCTGAAAAGTACAAGCATGCATATGTACTCAGTACTTGGTTTGGGCCCCTTTTGCAGCACTTACTGCAATTACTTTTGCACGATATTCTAATTATTCGAGTTTCACCTGTATATGTTGCCACAAATTTTGGTTAGAGTGTGTAAGGGTCAGAGTGCCTGTCAATGTTTTATTGCGGTTTGTGTCCCACTAGTCACCCTCTATATCTGTCCTGGTGACTATTGTCAATGAGACAGAAAGTGATGTATATTCCAAAATTTGTTACCAGAGCATAAGGAAAGGGGAAATCTTTTAATGGGACATCTATTCTGGTGATAACTTTGTAAGAGGTATTCCCCTCACTTGTAGTGATTTCTGTTGTGACTCTGAGATGGAAGAAGTAAGGGGAAATCTCCCTAAATAATACATTTTTTTAAAAGGTCTCCACCATTAGATGCCACTTTTGCAATATTAAATATGTTTGTGCCATTCACAGGTCACCACGACTGGAGGATTATAAAGTTTATCTGGGTCTGAACCAGCTGGATGTGATCACAAATCAAACAGTTGCTTCTGACATAACATCAATCATTCTCAACAGCAAATATACAATCACAGGATCAGTTGGGGACATTGCTCTTCTAAAGCTGGCCAATGCCGTCAATTTCACCCAACACATCATGCCAATCTGTCTGCCATCTTCCTCTGTCACCTTTCCGTGTGGCATGGACTGCTGGGCGACTGGTTGGGGTAAAACATCCTATAATGGTAAGCCTGTGAGGTTACAAGGTTGCATCAAAACTTTCATACATCTTAGGCCACTGCATTTTTCTAGTGATGTGGCCCAAGCCTAAACATACACTATAAAGCCAACATTATGTGGACATCTGACCACAACTATATAAGCTTGTTGAACATCCCATTCCAACACCATGGGCTTTAATAGGGAGCCCCCCAACTTTTCCAGATATAACAACCCCCACTCTTCTGGGAAAGTTTTTCACAAGATTTTGAAGTGTGTCTGTGAGAATTTGTGTTCTTTCAGCCAAAAGAACATTTTGGTGATCAGGTACTGTTGGATGAGAAGACCAGGCTCACAATTGGCATTCAAAATGATACAAAGCTGTTCAGTAGGGTTGAGGTCAGAGCTCTGTGAAGACCCCTTTAGATCCTCTATACCAACTCATCAAACCATGCCTTCATAGAGCTGGCTTTGTGAGACACAGTCATGCTGGAACAGAAAAAGGACCTTCCCCAAATTGTAGCCACCACGATGGCACAATTGTCCATAATGTCTTTGTATGAAATAGTTTTAATAGAACTCTTCATTTGAAAAACCTGAGCTCAATTGCTTGGAGGGATATCCACATAATTTTGGCTGTATAGAAGTTGGTGATGGCAAAGTGTCCACAAATATTTAACATATGGTATGTTTAAGACCTCCCAATATAATCTTTATCATCATCATCATCAAAGTTCAATAGATTTCTTTGCAGGTGGCATAATGGTCTTCAAAGCCTTCCGGAAGACTGTCCTGCTTATGTGCACCCACCATTCCCTCTCATTTGATGAAATCTCACTTCCTTGCGTGGCTTCTGGGTCCATTGTGTAGCCTTGTCCCTAGTGACAATGACCTTACATATTACTAACTTGGTTATTCACAAAAGGGTGAAGAGTTTGGAGAAGGCCGGAGAAGTGAACAATCTAGGACAACATAGCTGATTTGGAAAAATTCTCCAATTCAGCTCACTTTCCTAGTTCAGCAATGTTGTCCTAGATTGTTCACTTCTCCTCCCTTCTCCAAACTCCTCACCCTTTGGTGAATAACCCTGTAAATGTCTATTTTTAAAATCCTCAAGGTTCCCACCAGCCACATTCTTTTTCGGCTTTATGGGTAACCCATCTCTGTCCTAATGTAGTCCAGAAGCAACAAAAGTCCAAGGAGTAGCATATGAAACACATATTTTATCTTACGGTTCCATATGTGTCACCAGGGTCACAGCCTGCTAATGGGATCCTTCAAAAGGTCATGGTTCCTCTCATCGACTACAAGACATGTGACCAGATGTATCATGTTCACAGTTCAGGAAATGCCATTATTCAAGATGAGAAGATATGTGCTGGATATAAAAATGGACAGAAGGACTCCTGTGTGGTAAGTGGTGCCATGAGATACATGAGAGGCACAGATCACTTTGAGATAAGACAAAAATTGTCCTCATACAAACCATGTACATTCTTTTTGGAATCTTGGTGAGTTTTGTGTATTTCTTCCAGATCCGTGCAATAATCCAGTGTGAAACTTTCCCCCTGTGTAGGAGATTCCTGTAGGAAAGACCGGTCACTGCTGCTTAGACATGTGCGATTCGTTTCGTTCCGAATCGAAATTCGGACGAATTTTCGGAAATTCGGACATTCGGATGTATCCGAATTCCAGACATAACGAATGCAAACGAATCCGAATTTCCATTTCCGAAATTCGGTAGCGTTAGTTCGAACGTTCGTTTCGTTTTCTGTTCTTATTCGTTTCTTATTTGTTTCGTTCGTTGGAGCAAAGTGACATTAGAGGAGAAAAATATTTTTCCCCCTTCAAATGTCACTTTGCTGCAAATGAACGAACGAAACGAATACAAAACGAATAAGAAACAAATAAGAACAGAAACCGAAACGAACGTTCGAACTAACGCTACCGAATTTCGTCCGAATCCGAATTCCGAATCCGAATTGACTTTCACACCCGAATCCCGAAAAACGAAATAACACAAATCCGAATTTAAAACTAAACTAAACTAAACAAATTTTTTGGCAGTGCACATGTCTACTGCTGCTCTCTCTCCTTCTGCAGGATGGCTGGTCTTAAATCTTCCCCTTCTGTCGCTTTCTGCAGGCAGCCTGTAGTGGGTTAGGTCTGCTGGGTTCCTCCCACAGCTCTGTTACTTTTACAAGGTAAAACTTAGTTTGCCAAGGCATTTGGTGCATATAACATGGGCTTATCTCCTTTATGGCTATTAAGGTATATATGTAAATGAAAGTTTTAAGTAGCGATGTTTCCAGTACCGGATACTCTTAATACTGCAGCATACAAAGTCATTTTAGACAATTGTGTAATTTTAACCGACCCTGGGGTAGCAGTTTGGGGAAGGCCCTTTTCTGCTCCAGCATGACTGCAGCTTGTGTACAAAGCCGGTTCTGTAAAGACACAGTTTGATCAGGCTGGCGTGGAGGAACTTGAGAGGCCCTGACCTCAACCCTACTGAACACCTTCTGGATGAATTGAGATGTTGATTACAAGCCAGGTCTTCCTGTCCAACATCAGCAAATTACCTTACGATTGCTCCTTTGGCTAATTAGACACCAATTCCCGCAGACACACTTCAAAATCTCATGAAAAGCCTTCCTAGAGTGGAGGCTGTTATAGTAACAAAGGAGGGGGACATAGCTGTGATGGTCAGGTGTCCAACAGATAGATACACTATATTGCCAAAAGTATTGGGACCCCTTTACACGCACATGAACTTTAATGGCATCCCAGTCTTAGTCTGTAGGGTTCAGTATTGGTTTGGCTCCGCCCTTTGCCGATATAACAGCTCTGCCTCTTCTGGGAAGGCGTCCACAAGGTTTAGGAGTGTGTCTATGGGAATGTTGGACCATTTGTGAGGTCAGGTACTGATGTTCGGGGAGAAGGCCGGGCTCGCAGTCTCCGCTCTTATTCATCCCAAAGGTGTTCTATGGGGTTGAGGTCAGGACTCTGTGCGGCCAGTCGCGTTCCTCCACCCCAAACTCCCCCATCCATGTCTTTATGGACCTTGCTTTGTGCACTGGTGCGCAGTCATGTTGGAACAGGAAGGGGCCATCCCCAAACTCCTCCCACAAAGTTGGGAGCATGAAATTGTCACTGGATCTAAGGGGCCAAGCCCAACCCCTGAAAAACAACCCCACACCATAATCCCCCCTCCACCAAACTTTACACTTGGCACAATGCAGTCAGGCAAGTACCGTTCTCTTGACAACCGCCAAACCAAGATACGTCCATCAGATTGCTGGACAGAGAAGCGTGATTCATCACTCCAGAGAACACGTCCCCACTAGAGTCCAGTGGCGGCGTGCTTTACACCACGGCATCCCACGCTTTGCAATGATTTGGAGGGGGAGGGGCCCAATACTTTTGGCAATATAATGTAGGTAGATACTGTAGATAGATAATTAAAAAGATCTAACTGAGGAATATGGATGTCTTCCAGGGTGACTCTGGAGGCCCTCTGGTGTGTAAAGTCCAAGATGTCTGGTACCAAATTGGAGTCGTAAGCTGGGGAGTTGGTTGTGCCAACCAAAACCGCCCCGGTGTGTACACTCTTGTGACGGCCTATCAAGACTGGATCAGCCATTATCTGCAGGTAACGTTCAACAACGTGACAGATATTCCCTCACCAACAAAGACATGTGGAAGAGACGTCAATATCATTACAGATGACACTGGCAATGGTGGCACCACTGGACATTCCCACCTCCACTGGACGATCCTGGGCCTTGTTGCTCTTCTGTTTACTAACCTTTAACCAGGAACTGTCATCACAATGTTTTTTTATCGATCCTAAAGGACAAACATCTTTTTTTTTTATTAACTTATATAACTGAAGTGTTAATTTATGTTCAATGTTAATAATTAATCATCATTTTGCCCCGAAGGGTCCTTTATATTTACAATCAGAGGAAGACTGTATTGTGACTGGAAGTATATATTTGTTAGTACTGTACCCCAATGACCTATAATTCCAACATCTCAAGTAAAGGTTTAATAATAAAAATACGGGATCTCTGGATCTGATGCAACAAAATGTGGTCAATATTCAATCTCTGGGTCATTTTGCGCCTGAATAGTCAGTTTGTTGAATTTAGACCCAACCAACATTATGTTTTCTCGTTGAAAAATGACTTTTGCATCGACAGGAACACCGGATATTGGATCTGTGGGCACTGGGCAAATAAAAAAAAAAAAGCATGCAGATACTAAGCTGGTAACTTGCCCAAATTTGTAGATATGCAGCAGTTTCCTACACTCCTTTAGAAACCTGGAAGCCTAGAACACCCCAACCTTTGCAATGATGGTTATTGCCCAGACTTGGCTTTATAGAACTCACTTCCTGGAAGCAGAACTTTCAATACACCTTTGGCCTCTTTTTTTTAAAACTATATTACCAGATACTTGGAATCAATTACTTACAGTGGCCCCATCAGTGACTTTCTAAATCTACATGAAACAATTACTCATATATCACAATACACAGGAACAATATTAATTCAAACATTTAATGAAAAGGGAGTGTCTTTCCATAGGCTGAGATGATGTCACCAGTCTGTTGCAGGCAGGAGGAAGCATTTCCTCAGTCTCCCCTCCCCCAGTGATCAGTCTGATCCAGGCAGGATGAAGCATTTTCTAGTCTCCCCCTCCCCCAGTGATCAGTCTGCTGCAGGCAGGGGGGAGCATTTCCTCAGTCTCCCCTGCCCCAGTGATCAGACTGCAACAGTGTAACTTTGTGACAGCTCACAAGGTTTCTCATAAGCATGCTGCGCTTTGTTTTCACAGGTGGGAGGAGGCGGAGGACTAAAAAGGAGGAGGCAGACCCAGAACAAGAGAGGGAGGTAGTGGGGGGCCTTGCAGAGGGCAGTGTGGTGCTCTGTGCAATTGGGGATGCTCTCTGCATTCCCTGTCACACAGTACTAAGACGCCAGCACCCAGGGCCAGGCACACTACTGCGTCCTCTGCCAGGCAGAGGCAAAGTGGTCTCTGCACAACAGATGAATTAGAGTTCTGTGCCAGCAGAATTTTCAGTGTACACGTAAGTGCATTTTCCCTCTGTACTGCCACTACCACCAATGCAAGGGTGGGGGGAAGGGAAAGAGGTTCACAATACCACTGACCACCTAGCACATCCAAGGGAAGGGTTTAATTAACACCTTACCTCTTGCATTGATGGGTGGCCAATATAATTATTAATTAACCTCTTCCCTCTTGCACTGGTGGCTGGTTAGTTGTATCGTAATTTTCCACTGACCAGCCACCAATGCAAGGTGGGGGGAAGGAGTTAATTACTAAAGACTCTGACCACCAATGCTGGTGGTTATTGTTGCATCCATTGGAACCAATGTTGGGGGTTATTTTTGTGTCCTCTGGCACCAGAATTGGGGGTTATTATTTCTTCCACTGGCAGATATGCTGGGGGTAAATATTGCATCCAATAACACTGATGCTTGTGAAGGGGGGGGGGGGGGGGTTTAAAATGTTTGCCCGGGG